CTCTTGCAGCCGACATGGAATTTCTGCTCCTCACAGGGATGCTGCCAGCTTGAAATCTAGTCAGTTTCAAAAAAGGAATTTTAAAAAAGTAGCTTCAGGTTCTAAACTTGCCCCCGAATCCTCTGGCCAGTTTTTTTGTTTTCTTCACAATGATATTTTCCCATTTCTTTTTGAGGTTTGATTTTTCTCTGCCTTTCACTGTGGGAAAGGTCCACACAAACAACAGAGGAAATTGTCTCTGCGGGGGGAACTGTAATACTGAGCCTGCACAAACCACTGTCAGATGAGAGGAGTGGAGAATTCAGCGTTAATTTTGCAGCTTGTCTGAACACAAAAGTTTTCTAGGTAGAGGTACAACCCTCTTAGGGTGTACTGATAGTGGTGTAAAGATATCTTAGACTGGAATATCTATTCCCATATGGGAAAGGGAACCTGCTGTACTGGATTAAGGACTTTTATACTAGCTGTCGCCACACAAGGGGTTGCAGTGGTTTAACATTCAGTAAGAATCATGCCCCTGCCTGATATAGTTATATCAGTACGTAATCTGTGCGTAGAGCAGGCCTTATGTATAGGTAAATAAAAAGAATTTCATACAGAAACATGACTTCTAAGTGGACAATGATGCATTTTCTGTCCCTACTGCAGACTGGCAGGAATTGTGCTCATAATACACCTCTACCCCGATATAACACGAATTCAGATATAACGCGGTAAAGCAGCGCTCCGGGGGGGCGGGGCTGCGCGCTCTGGCAGATCAAAGCAAGTTCAATATAACACGGTTTCACCTATAATGCTGTAAGATTTTTTGGCTCCCGAGGACAGCGTTATATCGGGGTAGAGGTGTAATTTGTAGTAGTCTCGTTCTAGTCTGGGCGTTTGTGCAAATTTGGGGTTTGATCATCCTGCAGCAGGTTCACGTGTTTGGGTTCCTCCCCCCCCCTTTTCCCACCAAGTTTTCTTTTGAACAAACTAAAAAGTTCAGCATGAAATTGGGTAGAAACTGCCCTGAATTTTCAGGTAGAAACAGTCATTTGGTAGTTTTGCACAAACCCATCAGCCTGGGGTTCCTTGAGAAAGAAGTTTTATGAGCCCTCTGATCTTGTCTTCACTGGAGTGAGGGGGAGATTGTGTTGTTTATTTGATTAGCTACCACAAGGCAAAATGCTAGTGATAGTTTAAGCACGTTTAAATTTTCATACAAGCACCTTGGTGCTTTTCCCCTTTTCTTTGGGAGTTGCTCCCTGTAAATACCTGCAAAGCTACCTCTTTATCCACCTTCAAATTCCTCCTCAAAACTCTTTCCCTTGCCATCATGCCTTGACAGTGGCTAGGCTGATGGTGCCCTGAGACATCTGTCTATCACGCTGACCAATTCTTGTCATTTCCTGGTCCTCCCCGATCTGTCTGGATCCATCTGCTGGTCTCTTGTCTTGTATTATACTTCAATTGGAAGCTCTTTGGAGCAGGGACTGTCTGTTCTGAGTGTACAGGGCCTAGCACATTGGGGTTCTGCCCCATGAGTGGGACTCCCAGGCACTACAGTAATACAAATAATAATGAGTTATCAGGTCAATGTAAAGACTACAGGGGAGGGGAGGGGAGGGTTTGTCTTGATGTGCTCATACATGTGGAAACACACTGCCTTGTCTTCCCTAGGATTTTACCTCGTGTTTGTTCCACGTAGTAACAGGAGGTAAGAAAATACCGTCATTCCTAGTGAAGATGTGCCCTCAGAGGGTTTGTTTTGGGTTTTTTTTTCTGATGATGAAACCTAAAACCAGGTGAATTCTGGGCGTGATTTCCTTGTGGTCATTTTGCACCAGCTGCCTACTGTTCTCCTGGTTCCCACCTTCCCTGTAAGTTCCTCTGACGAATTTCTTGCCCCCCGACCCCCCGCTTTGGCCTTGAAGCACTCAGTTTATGCCCAGCAGCACACAAAGGTAGATGGGTGGATTGTTCATTATTCTGTTGTCTTGTGTTTTCCAAAGGACTGGGAGTCCATCAGTACCAGTGGATTGACTTAAGTGCCTAAATACGGTCCTAAGAGACCAATTTTAGCCTCCCCCTCCATGTGTTTTGAAGATCTTGGGCTTTTGACTTTCATTGATTTCATAGCGTGTAAGCCAGAAGGGACAATTAGATCTAGTCTGACCTCCTGTATATCCCAGGCTATTAAATTTCCCCCTGTTACCCCTGTGTTGAGCCCAATAACTTTTGTGTTAGACTAAAGCATTTTAGTCTTCTGGAGTCTAAATTGTAAGTGTGCCACAAATGGAGAATAAGGTTGCCACTCTCCAGAGCGGTTGCTTGATTCACAAACACAGCTTGGTTTCTGTCTGCGCTGCAAAACTGACATGTGCTTTTAGCTGTGTTTGGGGCACAACTCCATTTGTTTGGGTCCCTTGATGTGGTATATTCTGACAGTGGAGCTGGAACTGCACCATATCAAGATGTACTGTACCACAGTGTATTCGTGTGTGTGCGTGTGTGTGTTTACTGGAGAATGGGGTCTAAATATCAAAGGATTTTCTTTCTGTGTGTGTGTAGTAGATGCAACTTGCAATAAGGACCCCCAGCTTCAGTAGCCACTTCGAAATAATCTCAAGATTTGTCTCTTGCATCTTACAGTTTGTCTACATGGGAAAATGGACTGGTATAGCTATTGCTTTGGAAGCAGATTAAGCCAAACTGAAAAAGGTGCTGCTGTTCCAGAATAAGAGAGTGCACACAGTGAGCTAATCCAGAATAACTAATGCACTTTCAAGTCACACCCTGCCTTATTGCAGAAATAACTTCCCGGTGTAGACAAGACCTAAATTAGACCCTTGGTTTAAACAGTAGCCAGCTAATCTTTTTTTGATGGTCCATTGGATGGCTGCTTGAGAGTGGTTTGCGTGTTTGGTCAACACTAGATAATTATGCAGACTGTATGTGTGTGAATATATAATTATACTGCGTATATGCTATATATGTGATGGACAACCTGATTTGCTTGTGTCCTGTGTAATGCGCACACAACAACACGGATTACATTGAAATGGCATATTCATTAATCTAATGACACTGTGTAGGTGTAAATATGTATGTAACTATATTATGTGCCTTACCCCTACCCACGTGCATTTGTATATGTAATTACTCTGGATATATGCAAGTGAGTGTGCTAATCTCTCCGCTTTTGAGTGTAAATTCAGCTGCCCCTCCAAACAGTGTGTACGGTACAGTATATAATGTATAAATGCCTGACGGAAAGTAACTTTGTTCTTTATAGATGGAAATGTGGAAAATTAACAAGCGGCTCTTTCTTTGTGACACACCCTGCAAGTGCCTCCACTGCCTAGGAGCGCACAGCCGCCTCTTGGAAGCCAGGGCCTTGATTTACGGCCCTGGCGCTGACAGCTCACTGGAACCCACATGCTGTTTGCAGCACCGCCAAGCTGGGCTATGACCCTCCGACCTCTCCCCCTCCACTCCCCCCTCCTGTCTCTGCGCTGTAATAAAAACCTGTCTTGCAGGCAGGACTACAATGACTTTGTTGTTCAGAAAGGTACCCCTCCCCACCCCCACCCCCAAAAAAAATCTTTAAAAGCAAAAAATAAGGAACGTATGAGGAAACGGACCTGGGAGCAGCAGCCCGGATTACCACAGGATTGTTTGTGTTAGAATTTATTCCCTTCTCTTTGCCTGCTCTCAGCTCCTGAATGAAACCTCTCTGTCCTGTGCTTCTCTCACTCTTTTTTGCACGCCCTCTTGGTTTCTTTCACACGTTTGCCGTCTTTCACCAGCTCTCGTGGACACTTTGGCTCTTCCGCACGTTTGCGCACGTGCATTCTCTTGTGCATGCCTCGTGCTCACGCACTCATTCTCGCAGTTACTCTCTTCCTCGTGCCCTGGTGCACTCGCTTGATTGGGCTTGCATTCGTTTTCACCCACCGTTTTCCCCCACTTGCTTTCACAGCGTGTTTTTGCACACGCCTTGACTGGCAATCTCACTGACTCGTGCTTTTCTCCAATGCCAGCGAAGTGTTTCATTTTTAGTTAATACAAGTGACTTAAATATTATTGAAAACAAATCAGTGAATGCTCAGGAAACTAACAACACTTTCCAGGCAGACGCCCATAAAATAAACAGATTCATGTGCCGTCACTAGCAAGTACTGCTAAACTCCTCTCCTGCATTGCTGAAAATTATCTGCAGAATGTCCACATTCTGTCACTGGTTATTCATTTGGGGGTGAAATCCTGCTCTTTACTTGGTCTACTCCTCTGGTAGTTATATGCTCCCCTCCAGGCACCTAACAAATGGATTTAGCATCACTGCACCCCTGTGAGGTAGGCAAAGATTAGCATGCCCATTCTACAGATGGGGAACTGAGTCACAGACCGGCACAGTGATTTGCCCAAGGTCACACAGGGAGAATCTGTGCTATAGCTGAGAATAGAACCTGCCTCTCCTGAGTCCAAGGCCATCTTCCTCCAACAAGTGAGCTACTCTCTTTTGGTGCTATTCCTTGCATTATCCCTCTGTTGCTCTCATCCAGTTAATCTTAAGGGTATGTCTACACTGCAATCAGACACCTGCAGCTGGCCTGTGCCGGCTGACTCGGGCTCTGGCTAAGGGACTGTTTAATTGCAGTGTGCACATTCAGGCTGGAGCCTGGCCTCAAGGACCCTGCGCGGTGGGAGGGTCTCAGGCTTCAGCCCCAGCCCGACTGTCTACACCGCAATTAAACAGCCCCTTAGCACGAGCCCTCAGAGCCCGAGTCAGCTGGCATGGGCCAGCCGCGGGTGTCTGATTGCAGCATAGACATGCCCTAAGGGGCTTCCTGAGACTGCTTTATCCTGCTGGCTGTACCAGTAAGTGGGTCTGTCTCCGGTTGGATGGTGTCTAGGTAGTGAGCGCATACACAGGTAGATAAGGCACAAGGAGCTTGAAAAGGGAAATTACCTCTTCTCCTCCACCACTCTCTTATCTTTTTTTGTTTTTGTTTTTTCAGGCTCTCCAGGTGGCAAGACAGTTCCTTCTGCAGCAGGCCACGGGGCTGACCTCTCCTAGCAGCAATGAGAACAAGCAACCCGCAGTCCAGGTGAGGCAGAGAACCACCTTCACCCAAACCCTTATGGGAAGTGTTCTACTAGCACAAAGAGAACTCCTCCATTGGGGGGGTTGGCACAATCTCCAGAATTTCATTTCTGTGTCCTGGGTGGGCTTCCCAAGATCGCCTCCGCAGCTTAGGAGCGTCATTGACTTTCAGCAGGACGGTGCTCCTAAATGATTGCGGGTGCTTTGGGAAGGCTCGTCCATTTACAGACACATGCGTGCATACGCTCACGCTCCCTGCCATAGAGTCCCTGGCTTAAAAACACCTACAGGGAGGTCACGTGCTCCACTACGACTCCATAAGATTTTTAACCACTTTGTAGAGTCCCTCTCGAGTCCCTGTCCGTATACTTTGGGCTTCACCATAAGAGAAGTCAATGGGGGAAGGAAGGGACAGTGTCTCCGGTATTTTGGATACAGGTTAAATTTCAGGAGAGGAATCTCCCCCCCTCTCTGTTCGCTGGTTTGGGCTGCTGGTGCCAGACGGTGAATGCTTAGGGGGAGGATTAGGACAGCTGTTGCAAATCCATCTAACTTGTGGCTTCTTCATTTCACCCAAGGCAAAGTTCTCCTGCGTATGTGGGTTCTGGGGGGCAGGCCGGGCTCTGGTAGGGGGAGGCTGTTTTTCAGTAGGTGTGTATTAATGAGCTGTGTGTAAGGGGCACATGTTTATGGTGGGAGAGGGTTGCGGGAGTGTAATATTAGTGTACGTGGGAGATTTGGGGTTAGGGGGAGAGTGTGTGTGAGAGCGACAGAGGTATCCATATATGTCCTGGGACCATATGGAAGGACATGACCCTAAGGCTATGTAGCTATCGTGAAGAGGCTTACATCAGGGTGGTGGGGGGAGCAGGGGCAGTTTATTTTATAGTCTGACCCAGGATGACGGGAAAGGGTCCAGGAAGGAGGTGGGGTAAGTGGGTGTTGCCAGGTTAGAGAGGGAGCTGGGGTTAATGACCTGGCCTTTCACCTCTGCAGATCTGGCTTTAAATCCCAGCTCAGGTCATGAGTGAAGTTGCCTTTGGTGGACTCCTGTAAGGCCCCATTTGCCCGCATCATAAAACCCACAGTGCATCCTGGCTGCAAAGCAACTGGCGGCCAGTTCAACAGGAGCCTGGATTTGGAATCTCAAGCAGGGAAGGGGGCTGCTGTGGGTCAGGAATGAGGGATGTTGGCACATCTGGGGAGCGAGGGAACAACAGCTGCCTTCCGTATCCCGGGCTCAGGCCGGTCCTGTTCATCTCTCTTCTTCTGAGCACTCAATTGATTCACCAATTAAACATGAGGGAACAGGCTGGGACTTACCCCTCTCCGCACAGAGTGGTCCTGTTGCTCTGTAGCTGTCTGGACACAGCCCTGGATTTGGCAACCGAGGACCTGGAGAGAGAGAGAGAGATATGGAAGCAGATGCCTGTAGGGCGTTGGACCCTGTGGAAAGACAGGGCGAGTCTGTCTGTACTGCAGTGGGAGGGTGCAGCGCTCCCCTCCCAGGAGTCTGCGACACCCCACCCATGGGGGAGAGTCCCCTGGAAAGCATTCTTGGGGCCAGCAGGCCCGTGTGGTGGGGCGAGATGCCAGGACAGCTAGTGCCCGTGGCTCTGTGGGGGGAAGGGTGATACGCGGGCTCCTCCCAGGAGGCAGGGCACTGCCTGCCAGAGGAAGCTCGCTGGGATCACTGGCACTACGAGGGGGAGGTACTGGCAGTGAGGTTTGAACCTGGGACCTGCCGCACTGAAAGCGTGAGCTAAAAGAGGGACTCCTGAGATGGTAGCTGTAGTAGGTCTTTATCCTCTTACACAGACCGGCCACGAGAGGGAGACAAATACCAGGGTGGTTTACCCTGGCATTGACAGGGCACTGCTGAGGGGGGAAACGTGGTGCTGCCAGAAAGGATGGCTGGCAGGAGGAGTAAAATTGCCGCAAGAGAGAGGGAAAGGGGGCTGACCATGGTAATGACCTCAACCCCCTCACCTTTTCACAGGCAGTGTCCTTCTCTAGCCTCAACCTGTTGACTGGCAGCCTCAGCCACGCTCCGGCAGGTTCCTCCCACGAAGGGGGGCCAGCAAAGGGGGCCTAACTCCAAAAAGAGAAGGAGAGAAGCAAGTCCCAAGCGAATGTAAAGTGACAATTTAAAGAGCTGTGCGGAGGGGCTCTCCCTTCAGGCTAATTAAATTTATCGGCGAACAGCAGGTTACCTTATTAGAGCCACGTGGGTTTAATTAACAAAGGAAAGTAATTAGCACGAGTTCTCTCTGAGCCGGAGGTCCTTCCTACAGCAGGCAGAGCTGGCTCCAAAGCCCGCTGGACGCGGGAGGGGGAATCTGGGGCAGGAGGGAGGAGAGGAAGGTCTGTTTCTGCTCATCCAGGTGCCCCAGAGAGCGAGATCCACGGGACAGTTTTGTTGCTGTTTGTTCCTCTCTCCACCCCCCCCCCCCCCCGGCAACGCGCGCCTGGAATGAAACAGGGATTAAATTTTTCTCCCCCCTCCCCCCCCCCCCCCCCGGCTTTTTATTATTGTTTTTCCTTCTTCCCCCTGTTTTGTTGCAAGCTGTATAATTGCCTCCTGATCTTTTCACCCGTCTCTCTCTCTCTCTCTCTCTCTCTCTATCAGGTCTGTCTTGTTCTTTCCTTCCCTCAGGTCTGCACTGACAGCATTATCGCTGGGGCTGGGCAAGGGGGTGTCTTTGAGCGCCTGGGGGGTCTCCACCTCCCTTCCCCTCTCTCGGCAAACCTGATATCGAGCGGATTTGCTCCACCTCGTGCCTTCGTTCCCCTTGACCACAGTGTGCTTCAGATCAGGCCTGTGGCATGTTGGGGGTAGGAATAGCCTCTCTGTGAGAGCAGTGGAAGTCCCGTTCCTTGAAATCTTTTAAATTTTTAGACGGGACAAAGCACTAGGGGAAGGAATCCCACCTTGGCAGGGACGGGAGACTGGGCTGGATGGTCTAATAGATCTTTCCTGTCTCTGATTGCTGCATGCTTGAAACTCCCCAGAAAACCTCTATCCCTTTAGCAGGATAGGATGGAGTCCAGAGCCACTCTGAAACAGGTCTCCGTTTTCGTCCCACCTGCCTCAGAGGCGCAGACCCCCTGCAGGGACAGCGGACCTGCTGCCGCCTGGCCTTAATGGGTTTGAAAGTGAAGAGGGAACGGATGAGGGGAAATCACAGCTGCGGTATTAACAGCAATAATTAGTCAGGGCTTCTCCCGCACAAGCAGGCAGCTTTTTCCAATAGTGTTTTCAGGAAGGAAATGCAGTCATTGGATGGAAAATATCTTGAAAGAACAAAGACAGTAAGAGTGAAGTCAGATTCCGGTTACATATCTGTGTGTGTGTGTGTGTGTGTGTGTGTGTGTGTGTGTGTATCTATTTCTCCATTTCTCTCTTTCACGTTCTGTTTTCCCTCCTTCTGTTTCTTCTCCCATGGTGTGTCTCTCTCATTCTGTCACTGCCTGTTTATCTTCCCTTTCACCCTCAGTCTTTCGTGATCTGCTTTCTCTCTTGCGCTCTTTCCTCCATCCCACCCCTCCCTTTCGCTGCTGTCTGTCCATCCATCTGGCTGGCTTGTTCGGAGTTAAGAGTCCGGCTTTCTGCCCCCTCCTCCCCCTTTTGTCTTGCAAAAGAACTTGTGAAAGTTGTAGGCTATATGAGTCAGGAATAGCAGCCTGTCTCCCCGCCCCCTCCTTCCCGGCTTGCCCCTGCCCAGCAGCTGGAGGAGGATCTGAAGGAGGGGAGATAGAGGATTAAGCAGACTCCTTTGAAAGGAAGTTTATCTAACGGGGAATGGTGTGGATGAGATTGACCAGGAGGGTTTCTTCAGACTGAAGTGGAGAAGGAGAGAGGCTATTGTATGGTGAGATGGCGGCAGGCGGGGAGCAGGGCTTCTCCACCACCAAATCCAGGGTGGCGAAGGGGGGGCAGAGAGCCTGGAGTGACTGGGGGGAGCACACTGCTCTTGGAGGGAGCTATGGAATCGGAGGCCAGGGGAGACTTTTGTGAGTTAGGTTCCTAAGCACCCGTCACTTCCATTGACGTCAGTGGGCGATGCAGGTGATCAGCACCTGTTCAGGATTAGGTCCTGAAGGGACCGATCCTGCAACCCTTGTGTTGTCTCACTTGTGTGGCAGGAGTTAGGAGTATGGGCTGGCTCCCCAGGCTGCTCTTTGTCTGGCTAGCGGCCTGATCCTGCACTGGGCTGCTGAGCTCGCATTGACTTCAAAGGGAGCTGAGGGCACTCAGACCTGCTCAGCACCGCCCTGTGGAAGCACAGTCGGGTTGGCCGTAGAAAGTGGTTTCTCTTGCGCTCCTTGTGCAGTGATCTGGTGAGCAGGGCTCTGTTCTGCAGAGCACGGCCTGTCCTTTTCATGCTAGTTAACACCATTAGGTTTCATTTCAGCTCCTCTCTCCCCACCTTGGCTGTTATGGGACTGGATGAAACAGACTCTGGGGGTTCAGTCTGGCCTGATTTGCGGCTCTCGGTTAAATCCAGATAAAAAGCTCCTCTCTTTCAGCTGAGTTTCACTTGGAGATTTTTGGAGTTTGCTCAAAATGAAGGGGGCACAATGCCCCATTCAGGCTGAAACCAGTCCCCCAAACCCCCTGCTGGCATCTGAGGCCCTCACGCAGCAGTCAGTCCTCTTTCAGCAGAGAATTTAAGCATATGCTTGACTTTAAGAACATACTCAAGTCTCGTTGATTTCAGTGGGACTTAAGCACATGCTTCAATGCTTTGCTGAGTTGGGGTCTACTGGATTTAAATAGAAAAACTGCATGGAGGTTAGGGTCTAATATCAGCTGGCAGGAGGAAATGTCCTTAATGTCCATTATAATAATACTTAGCTCTTCTATACCACTTTTCATCAGTTGATCTCAAAGCATATTACAAAGGAGATTGGTACCATCATCCCCATTATACAGATGGGGAAACTGAGGCACAGAGAGGGGGAAGTGTCAGTCTCATCGTACCTTGGATATCATGAAAGGTG